AAGCACTGACTTGCGCTTTTAACTCATAGTCACCCGAGTGCACGCCTATACTTTTATTTTCACGATGATTTTTATAATGCTTTGGAAAGTTGTTTTCTTTATCATTTCAGTTTTATCTTTGTTTTTTATTTATTTTATTTCATACTCATTATATTACTTTTTATAAATTATAGTACATAGCATAGATATTATTTTGTACCTATAATTAAGTTTAAAATTTAATGCAGTCTCATTACATTTGTAATTAAATTCACCAGTACTCATAGAATATGATACCAAACAAAAAAAATCATGTATTTACGGTCTATGTTATCAACCAAATAGTAAACTTCCTATGAGGAAAACATGCAGTGTTTCTGTTTATCCTGTAAAACTCATGAATTGGAACAAAAATATGAAAGCTATTCTAACGTGTTAATTGAAACTTTTTTATACGAACACACATAAATGGGAATAAATTATCGAAAATAAATATCAGTCATATACAGTACGGGGAATGCTAGGGAAAGATAATTATCCCTCCATTTTGTGATTCCGTCGTGAGCACTCTGCGACCACACGCGAGGTGACGAGAAAGCAACGCCTAGCTCACGTTTCTGTTTATCGTGTAAAACTCCTGAATTGTTACAAAGATCGTTTTGTCTAATCCAATTCGAACATTGCAGATGGCTCAACCATGTTTAACGCGCGAGGAACTTGTCGCAGGTCGCTGACGGAGCGGGGCGAGCTGTGCCGGCGCGCCGCGGGGCTGGGGCCGAGCCCCGTCGCGGGGGCGGGCAGCGCGGTAGCCGCCGCCGCCGCCGCCGCCTCCGCCACCGCCGCCGCCGCCGCCAACGCCGCCGCCGCCGGCGCGTCGTCGCTGTTCGTGGCGCGGCCGCATCGGCGCTCCGAGCCCTCTACTTCCAGCGCCATCGTCGCCGACGTGCAGCAGGTGGGCCGGCGCGCTATGTATTTTAGATTTGGCTTCGAGTTCTGAGGGGGTTCCTCCCTTCTCTTCCACCTTGTGTCTCCTATTTTTTTCCATCTTTTGCTTTCCTCCGTCCTCGTACATCTCGAATATGCCTTCGTCGGTCTTCACTTGTGAGTTCCTCCGTCTTCCTTCTTTTGCCTTCTGTTCTTCAAGTTTTGTCGTGCATATTCGTCCTCCATATTCCTTCGTGTTCCTTCATTATCGTTCATTTTTTGCCTCTTTCCATTCTTGTCGTGTATTTATATCCTCTATCTTTCATTTAGCTTTCATTTTTGGCGGTCATGTGATCGCCCTCAGTCCCTTTTCCGCTGCGTCTTGGCTGGGCACCCTACTCTCTCTCTCTCTCTCTCTCTCTCTCTCTATATATATATATATTATATAATAATATATTTATATATATATATATATATCCTCCGTGTCCCGTCATTTGAATAAGGCGTCGTTATTCACTTGTAGTTCCTCCGACTTCTACTCGCCTTGTCTTTTGTTCTTCGTCATTGGCCGTCCCCATCCGTCCTCCATATTTCTTCGTGTCCCTCCGTTATCCTTGATTTTTGGCCTCCCTCCGTTCTTGTTTTGTATTCGTATCCCCCATAATATTTTATGTACCTCCAACTTCATTTTTTTGCATCTTTTCGTCCTCCCCCTTCTTTTGCCCCCATCTATACTCCTCCATTTTGTGATTCCTTCGTGAGCACTCTGAGACCACACGTGATGTGACGAGAAAGCAACGTCTCGCTTGCCTAGGAATCCGCTGGGTTCGCATACTTTTTGGCGGTCACGTGATCACCCTCAGTCCCTCTGTCATGGAGGCCGACCGGCCATCACGTTGTCACCGTTGTGTCTTGGGGCACCCTAATCCCTCTCAACATACTATGTTTTGAGGCGCCCTTCCAAAGTGTACGGTCACTTACATTCCTGGTGTCGTCGCTGGCGCCTTCGGAAGCATGGACATCAATTGACGACGTCACAGTATGTTTTTGCAGTTTTGAAAATACAGAGAATTCGCCGAAAAAAGTCTGGTGTTTACAAAACTAATTCAGTATGCCTTTAAAAAAAGAATTTTTTTAAGAGAAGTCTCTACTTTCAATATTGTAGTTGTAGAAAGGCAATGCAAAATATTTGAACTTACATTTTTTCGAAGAATCAAGAATTTCAACGAAAATGAGACCTGCGTCTTTTTTTTCACTTTACAAGGACAAAGTGTAATAATGAAAATATGAAGTCATTTTTAGATAAGTTTGAAAATGAAAATGAGACTTCATATAAAATGCCCCAAAAAATTAAAATATACGTTTTAACTCGCAGGATCTCGGCTGCCTTTACATCGATCCAGTAATGTGAAACTTGGATAAAATTGGCAGAACGATTCCGGTCCCATCGCCTATCTGGCAGATCAATGTGCGACCACACACGTGGCCATAATGCGACATCCCGCTCACCTGGGCGTCTGCTGGGCTCGCATACTTCTTGTTGGTCTCGTATTCATCGTCAGCCCCTCTGCCCATGAGGCCGGCCGGCCATCACGTCTTAGGGGCATGCTACTCCCCCTCATTGAATTGAATTGAATTGAATTTGCCTTATTTTACGTGGCGAGACTCGGGCATCAGGCCCGCTCTTCCGTCTGACCACGCAAATTTCGCTACGCTCCTTTCACCAACTAGGAGAGAAAGGAGGTATTTCTTGGGCGAGAAACAGGCGATTTGAATTTAGCTCAGAGGCGTCATTTAGGCTTGAGGATCTTTTACATGCAAGTAAATCTACGAACATGGGACAGCCGGCGTTACTTCCCCTCCGAAGGAAGGCGTACGAAGGATTTTCTCGCCCTTAAAAATCCACGGCTTCGATCGGGTTTGAACCCGCCAACTTGGGTACAACAGTCCAGTACGCTAACCGTTACACCATCGCCGCCGCAACCGTTACACCATCGCCGCCGCATTCATTTTTTCCCCGGCGCCTTCATATTCTACATTTGCTTGCTCTCCGCTATGCACACCGGCACATTCGAAAGCAAAGCTGCCAACTGACGACGATACACGTGACGAGAGACCAGATTTGTTTGTAGTTACATATTTTTTGTCTTTCTACTTACCGTTGTCAAAAGTTTAATTGTGACGAATTGTCACTGTTCTAAGACTATATTAATTTTTTTTTGGTATTACGTATTTGGTACTATATTACGTATTTTACATATTTTGCTATTTTCTCAAAGATGTCATTATTCTATGAACTTTCTTCAATTCCATTACATATATTTATGAAATTAAGTTGTTTTTTTTGAATCAGCATTTTTTCCTACATTATTACTACGTGCCACTGTACATTCTATTCGATGTATGCTATGTGCAGACCTGGTGCAGGCATAAAAGTAAAATTCACAACTCGTTCGGTGATTTTTAACCTTGATTTCTAAACATCTTTGACGATCGCGGTCGCGTAACACTTTGATGAGAATGTCGCACTCTGCAGTGATTGCTAGTGGAACATATCACCAGTTTGTACGATGACGTCTATTGCATCTAGTCTGGCTGCTAAGATATATACCTAGATGGCAATATGTGAATAGTTTACTACAGATAGGTGAGTTGTATAGTGCAAGAGTGCATCAACTTGTGCTTTCCAAACGATTTTTAAAACGTTTGTTTTGTTTTTAAAATTTGTGTTTCATAAATGTAAGCTCATGTTTCATAAATCAGAAAAAAAAATTGTGTTTCATAAATTTTAATGTGTTTTATAAACTAGAGTATTTTAATATTACATATTATATCCTATTTTACATATTCTCGCTGTTTTCATTACGTATTTGTGTGCTTATTTTGACGTTTCGTACTACATACTCTTCCGATGTCTACGCGTGGCTGCTGGTGCGCAGGTGCGACTGACCCGCGCGCGGCTCAACATGGAGACGAGCCTCTGAGCCGCCGCCTCCCAGCCTCCGCCGCTGCGTCGCCCTCTCCGTTGGCGCGACAGGCGCCGCCAGCAGGTCTTGTAGGGGTACGGCCGTTTAACGAGGGGAAATTGCAGATAGCATACGGCTATAGAGATATGTAGATGGACATATAGATAGAAAGATAGCATGTGTTGATAGGATAGATAGGTAGATAGCATAGACAGATAGATAGATAGATAGATAGATAGAAGTAATAGATATGCATAGACAGATAGACATGAACAGACAGACAGAAGACAGACAGACAGACAGACAGAATAGATAGATAGATAGTATGATAGATAGATAGATAGATAGATAAGATAGATAGATAGATACGATAGGATAGATAGATAGATATAGATAGATAGACAGATAGACAGACAGACAGACAGACAGCCAGACATAGATGAGAGCTAGATTTAGATAGATAGATAGATAGATAGATAGATAGATAGATAGATAGACAGGTAATATATAAACAGACAGATAGACTATAGATAGATAGGTATATAAATAGATAGATTAATGGAAAAAGACGGGTGGGTGGATAGTTGGGGAGATTGTAGAATCTGTTTAGAAATTAGTTAATTTTTGCTATTTCAAATTCCATTATGACATTTCTTAACACATTTAGCATATACAGGTAGTTAAAGTAGTTCAAAGTAAATGTTAAAACCTTCTACATGTAGACATGTGAAAGACGATCACCTTTTGCTAAGAAACGTGAGGTAGGAAATCTAATTCACTGAACTACACACGTGTCATTTTCGAATCCACGATCCTTATTGTTAGGCAATTCATGGTGCCTTGGTGTTTGGCATGTACAGAAACCCTCAAGAGACCTCTAGATCCCTGGCAACGGCAATACTTTGTTTTTGGTGTGTGCTCAGTTTTCTCTACAAAAATGTATCATTGTGACGCCCCTGAAGTTTCAAACTTGCGTGACAAAAGTGATTTGTTCGCAAAAATGTTACAAATTGCTAGGGTACCTACTACAATACACTGTCGAAGATGGTCACTTTTTTCCAGTCATCATGCTGTGGGACTTGTCTTAAAGCACGATACACATTTATTATTCCATTTTCTTTTTTTTTTCCATTTTTAAAGGACACCTACATTTGAGCCTGATAAGTACGCAACTCACAATACACTAGTGTTTAGAAGGTAGCGGCATGACAACGAGAATTCTAGTACTCGCCAAACACCACTGTATAATGATTTTTTTAACAATCAGGGGTAAATTCCACATGTTTAGTTTCTATTCACGAGACTTTCCATATGCTCATTGACAAAAAGAGGTTACCTTTAATTGCTCTATTCGCCTTAGAAGTTTATTACATTTATTCTCAGAAACACCGTATATATATATATATATTGTGTTTTAAACTATATCACATAATTTACACAGCCTGTTGTACTGTTTTAAATAGATAAAATAACATAACGCATGATGGATTTTATCTAGTATCTTCCAAAAATTACATTTCTGACATTCTGGTATAATATATTAATCTAATAATAAATAATCATATTAGTGACTTTATTTATGTGACGAGAGCGTTTGTCAATCGACACACGAGTCCTTATTTTCTCCGTGCTTGTGTTTGGCAGGGCTGCTGACCGTCTCCGCCGCCGCCGCGCTGTTGCCGTAGCCGCCACTCTTCTGCTGTGTTCAAAGGCGTCCGCGCCTCGCTGCACGAGCTTACTATGTACTACTTCTCCGGTCGCCGCCGCCGCCGCCGCCGCCACCGCCTTCGCACTCGCGCACTTGCAGTCACCGCCGCCGTCACCGCCGTCCGTCCCCCGCCGCACCGCCGCCGCGCTCGCTGTTTCGCATCATCACTCGCCGCCACCGCCGACGTCAGAGAGAATGTCCTTCCTCTCGTGTGACGTCACGCCTGGTTCCCGGAGTTTGTTAAAGCTCGCTTTACACGATCCGGTTGGTATTGAACAATGGGAAATAAATTACAGAACAGTTACATTAATGTAGAGAGAATGCGGTTCCTTTCTTCCCTCTCTTTTGTGGGTGGCGTCACGCTGCCGTTCCTAGGAGTTTGTTTAAGCTCGCTTTACACGACCGGTTGGTTTGAACCAATGGGAAATAAATTACAGAACAGTTACATGTAAGGTAGAGAGAATGTCCTCTCTTCTCGGGTGACGTCACACTGATTCCCGAGAGTTCGATAGAGCTCGCTTTACACGACCCGGTTGCTTTTATTCAATCGGAAACAAAAGTACAGAATAGTTACATGAAAGGTAAAGATAATGTCCTCACTTCTCACATGACGTCACGCTGGTTCTCGGGAATTTGTTAAAGCTCGCTTTACACAATCCGGTTGCTTTGATTCAATGGGAAACAAAAGTACAGAACAGTTACATGATAGATAGTGAGAATGTCCTTTCTTCTCTTATGACGTCAACTGGTTCTCGGGAATTTGTGCAAGCTCGCTTTACTCGATCCGGTTTGATATGATTCAATGGGAAACAAATTTGAAAATAGGTACACGTAGCGTGGAGGGAATATGGTCTCCTTTCGCGTGACGTCATGCTGGTACAGAGAAAGTCCTCTTTTGTGATTTCACTCTGGCTCTCGGGACGTTTTTAAATTTCGTTTTACACGATTCAGTTATGTTTAATATGTATGTGCTACAAGTTGGAGCCCGATATTAGTGAAAACATCATCTCTTTGCGTGTGACCCTCCCCTCTCGTTTGTTTTTGAAAGCTTAGAGGGAAGTTTAGCCTTTCTCATTGCAAAACTTTACTGAAAGTAATGTGATCACGTGAAGTGGCACTGTGTGGAACATACAATTTCGGTACATGAATAACGTTTACGATCGTAAATCTGGTAAAGTTTTCTATACTTTCTGTACAGAATCCGAAGGAAAACTGGCCGTGTAAAGCGAGCTCAACCAAGGTAATTTTTTATTTGAATTTATCATGAGTCCCTCCTAAGATTGTCAAATCGCACACATCACACTTTCCTATTTTTCGTAACAGTATTGTGGTTTGTACAAAAAGATGTCACTAGATAGGTTGTGGACTGAAATGATGCGTTTGAGACTGGCCAAATCGCATTTCGTTCTTCTCAAAAGCTGTAAGCTTAAAGTATTGTTTGAGTCAGTTTGACGTCAACTAGCACAAACTGTGTCGAAAATCTCGAGGTTCAGTCTCAACAAAAAATTTGAAGCTTTCTTGTCCGTTAACGATTAATAAAAAATAAGCACGAAAATACATGTTACTTCTCATAAGTACGTTAGTGTTTACAGTAAATGTGGTAAATTCAAACGTAAAGGCTGTTCTCGTGGCTCATTCTATTTTCATATACGTTCTGCGTCACATCAAGTACTCTGAGATATTTCAAGTCTCACTTCCCTCACTACAAAAACAACTTATATACTTCAGAGAGTAAGAGGTAAGATGTTTCTATTACTTGATCATGCAATTATCAATATCGTTTTGTCATTGGTTCTCCATTTTTATTTTCATTTGTTCGCTTCATCGTTGTACGGGTATTGGTGAATAAATCTTCAAATTATTTCTCTGCCACTTAAAAGAATCAAAATATCTTAAATCTCTTTTCATGAACGTATGTGAAGTGGAATATTATATAGGATGCGGCTATTTTTAAACGTTTCCACTGGCTTTCGTGACAGTACTCTTTAACATAACTTGTACATTTCGTTCTAAAGGACGTTCAAGATCTTCTAATTAGTATGCCACGAAACTTATTTCATACTTTAGAGAAAAATATGGTTTAATTATTATATTTTCTCCTACATCTGTGTCGTGTTAAATGGGATGATTTTACTCAATCATTCGAATTTTTCAACGTCGTCAATATAATAACGACTGAACCTCGAAATATCTCATGGAATGTACAGGGAGAGGATATTTATTTTAAAGGCTTCAGGAGAGAATACAAGCTGTAATGCATACATTTTAAGAAAAATGCACAAAAAAGACGCAGGGTAAAATGAAAAATATATTAAATTATTCTATTTTGCAGAAAAAATATACATAAAACGGAACTTCAAGACATTGGCCTCAAAATATCAAATAGCAGCTTCTAAGTAAATGACTGGGATGTTTTTAAACGCGATACATTCTGTTCAGATTCAATAACAATGAATTAACCATATTTCTTTCTATTCGATAAAATATATTCAATAATTTTGGATATCAATACGTTTTAGAAGGGGTAAAATGGTGCATTGAATAATATCGTACTCTTGCAGTAGCACAGTTTAAATTGAAAACAAATTTCGGTCTGCTATTAAATGTTCTTTCACAGAAGATCCTTCTCTTAAAACAGCTAAAAAATAATTTGCATATCCGCTAATAATTAATTTTATTAAAGCCACATAATTTTCTGAATATATTATTCTTTGTTGTTATCACAATAGAAAGCAAATATGTTTTGGTTTTATGTGGTTACCACACCTGAGGGGTAACGTAAGTAGAAAATGTCACAACTTAATAATCTTTCCGTATGCTTTTGTCATCCAAATGCATAGATGTATCAGTTTGTTGCCAAATTATCGACGTAAACCATTGGAAGTGCAGTGTAAAGTGTATTCTATAAGACGAAAATGAAATGTAGTATTAATATCATAGTATATATCATACGCATTGTATAGATCATATATTCATGCAATTATTAGCCATGTACCTTGTAGATAAATGCCGTATCGCAAAGCTCTATAACATATTTCGTCTTTTTGAAAGCATTTCGCACTCAGTTTCAAGCTCATAGTCACTAAATTTTAAAAATAACATTTGAAATATTCTGATCAGCATAAGGCAAGAAGTGATCAAGAAAAAAGTATATTGCGCTAAATGAGATAGGGCGAGAAAACTAGTGAGAAGAAGTGCATTTGGCAAGGTATCTGGAACTCAATTTCTCAATGATATGTGAAAAGGAGGAAAGCAAAAAATATCTCCACATGGTAGATATTAAGAGAAAAATACAAATAACCGAAAAGCTTTTCCAAAGTTCAAAATATATTTTTTGTTTCTTTGCTTGTTGGTTATTTATGTCTAACGTATTGTACAAATGAGAATACGCACATTCAAGAAATGTGAATATTTTCCAGAAAGGTAATGTTATGATATATGCGAGTCATTGTCCAGACAAGCTTTTGTAAAAATGTTTTAAAAAAGAAAGCACCAAGAGTGGTGAGTGGATTCTCTACAGTAAGCGTGTGGTCATATATTCCCGTTCACTGTTCATTGAACGTCTTTGACATAATGCATCACCAGGGTTCACGTAACTCAACAACGCTGAGTTGTTGCGTTGCAATGCTGAGAACCGAATATTTGGCGCTTAGACAGTAGCAAACAAACCATCTCCATCCTACTGGCATTCGGCGCGCGCTCGCATGCTATTTTCCTCAAACTGATTGTGAGGAACAGCCTCAAAAATACGACAAGCTGCGGATAGAGCGAGCACCGAATATTAGGCGCTTGGCAAATAACAAGCAAATCGTCCACTATACTCGGTGTTAAGTGAGCGAGCGCAGGCTCCTTGCCAAACGCCAAATGTGTGAAGACGCGTTAAAAGATCGCAACGCAACGGGAGGGTAGCACCGAATGTTTGGCGATCGGCAAGAGGCATTCAACCAAACATTAGATCGCTCCTCACCGCATGAAGAATGTGAAAAGCCGTCTTTACGTTTCGAACCTTCCATTACAGACATTCCATACGGAAGTTCTGTTACTTTACATAGGTTACGGCACTTCCGACACAAGTATGGGTCTTTTTTGTATAGGTACTATGGCGGCTTCACACATTCGGTATTCGGCTAATAGTGACTGCTCGCCAATTCCCAGGTAGTGTGGATGGGTTGTTTACTATTTGGTGAGCGACGAACATTCGGTTCTCTCCCTACTCACCATGTATCGATGTTTTAGACACATCAAAGGAAGCGAACATTCGCCGAGCACTTTGACTGCTCGGAATCAGGCGAGAAGAAGCTTGCTGTTCGGTGAATGCCGAATTAGTGGAGCCGTCTTCACTGTTAAGCATTAAATTAATTACTGTATGCCCTTGCTTCGAAGACTTACACGGCTTCATTATAAAGCTGTTATTGATCAAATAGTACACTATTTATATAAGCAAAATATTATTAATAATAAACACGAATTATAACAGTTCATAACTTACTAAAATAAGAAAAAACTAAGAAATATATTTTGATATCTACAACTGAAAATACATAATATTAAAAATTATTGTAAATTTAAATGAACGTATATTATTTACTATCGTTTAAACATTGTGTGGATGCCAATGAATATTGGTTGTATTTTTATTCATTTATTGTCAAAAGCAGTGAAGACTGTTTGTGGCATATAATAAGAAACAACAATCGATAAACAGAAGTACAAGAGGTGTTTTATACATTTAAGGGTCAATCGCATTAACGTTATCCCAAAGAACAGGGTTGTCCAACTGGTGGGCCGCATGCGGCACGCTGTTCCATTAATTGTGGCCCGCGAGAGGTTATAGGTCAAAAGTAAAAGCCCTTTTCATCCATGTCGGGCGAGATCCTAACACCTGTGCCGTGTTGAGGTAAACAACCCCTCCGTGTATAAATTGGTTAAGTTTAAATTGGAGCACTTTTTTGTAGAAAATTCAGAAGTTCAAAACCATCCAAACGCGTTCCACTACGTTATGCGTGGCACAGCCTGATATCACGTATTGCCCAATTCCCCCTCCCCCCTTTCAGAGCAGCCGGGAAAACCACCGAGATCAAAATGGGGTAGCCAGGTGAGGATCACCCGAGTACTGAAAATGTGGCCTGTAGCCATATTAAAGGTTTTAGTACCGGCCCTTGAGCCCCGGCAAGTTGGACATCCTTGCTACAAAAGATATCGATTACAAACACCAAATAAAGAAATAAAATCGCTAGTATGACCCTAGTAGTGTAGACTAGTAGTGTCATGATTTTCAGTCTCGAAGGCCAAGTGATAGTTATCTTCACTGGTTGCGTCAAAACCATGTCAAAAAACGTTTCATTAAAGAGTGAACGGGTATATAAGTGCATACTACATGTTTCTTTGTGCACAACTTCATCTGAGTATTTGTATTCCTTGAAATCCGGTGTTCCTAAGAGATCGCGTTATAACTTATATTCATGCGCACACACTATCCCCTTTTATTCTCCAAGTCTCCCTTTTTACAACGCAGATTCCTCGACTCGCCATCTCTTTTCTTGCTTCACTACCTCTTTCACGACTTTCAAAGACGTTGTAAAACTATTCAGCATTGCTGGCGTTTTCTTTCTTATTGTACATTGTATCTCGAGTTGTTTACGTGTATGTTCCATAAGTAATGTCGTTTTGTGATTGGGCATTTTAGACATGTCTAACGCAGATAATGTTATTATCTTTACAATTTAAGATGCATTATATTATCTCCGCTAATATTTCGGCCAATGCTAGCATCACGAAACCTGTCCAAGTTTACTGAAGCGGTGTTAACACAATATCTCGACATTAATTATGAGACAATTGAATAATTCGAGAGTACAAAAATGCAGTCCACAATCAACAAAAATCTCCTTGCTGTGTTATGCAAAATCATTTTGCCGTACTGACAGCCAACACGCCACGTCTGATCTCTCTAAATACTCTTAGCAGATGGTCCGTGGCGTGTCACTGAAACATATCGCCCATAAGCACTACCTATGTGACATTTGAATGCTACAGCATGAATGTAACACATTGTGAATTCGTCCGTTTTGGCGTATCGTAGAGAAAACCAGGTAGTTGATTCATGTTACTTCACTTGCAACTCAAAACATGCTTCCCTTCAGAATTATTTTCCATAAAATCAAGTCTCAAATGTCGAGTTTTCTGTGTGAATGTATAAGAAATATATATTAAGCAGCGTTCTGAAATACAGCTCGATCAAGGAAGGTGCGACCCAGACGGGAGGGATCTAATTAAGGTAGAAAAAACTGTCATGAGTTCGATTTATGGAATAGAATGGGTTTAATGTTCAATATTCAAGTAAAATAGATTGTCATATTGTCTCACCTCCGCGAAATAACAATCATCTGCACACTTTATGTGATTATAGTATTAATTAGCTCAGACTCCCATTAGCGGTGTTAACTGTAAGCCACCATGCAATGCTACTCAGTGACACCGATGTTTCCTTATCAATCACACCTCATTGAAAATATGAATAAATCAGATTACACCAAAGAATTCCTTACTATGTGCCAAGGCATAAATATTTTTCTTCATAGCTTCCTAATTCTTATTATTATTATTTAAAAATATCATTAATGGGATTCATGAGCCCTATAACTGCTGAGCTCATTGAAACCCACGAGTGACGAACTAACAAGTAACGGTGATATTATGATGTAAATGATAATAGACCAATGGGGAAATGAGAGCCATATGTATATGATGAATCATGAAACAATACAAACGTGAAAATGAAAGCAATTCTAACGTGTTAAATGAAACGTTTTTAGACGAACACACATAAATTGGAATAAATTATAATATACAGTAGTGGAAATGGGGAATGCTAAGGAGAGACAATTATCCCCCACTCGTGTTTGGATAACTGCAAAAATATTTACGTTTATTCCATTTGAGCCTTATATTCAAATTTCTCTGGAGATCGAATTTACCACTCTTCCAAATAGAAGATCTGATAACACGTCACTAATCATGTAGTAAATTGTTTCAAGCTCAGCCACAGTAGCTAATAAACGTGAGATTTGATGAGAGATTATCTATCGATCCGGGACGTTTAAATCTTGGTCGAGCTGTACCAATACATTTCATGTGTACTACTTAGAGATTTTTTGCAAGTTTCGCAGTTTATGAAAAGGTAACCGAGGAACTGCGTGTATGAAAATCTTCAGTAATTTTCTTCCGTGATATTCGCCAAGACTGGGTCCTTAACCCCCACCCTAACTCTCTCTGAAATCGGAGAGTTTTTGCAGAACACCAAATATGCTCAAATCACTAACACTTATTTTTCTGACGTTTACAACA